GTAGGATATCAGACCGAATCAGACAATCTAAGATTTGGTCAAAACCGAGTTGAGGCACGAGGAGTCACAAAAATTCCACAGAGGCCCCAGACAACAGGATGTCATAAATCAGACCCTAGCCCTTCTGAAGCAAGCCTAAACCTAAGCCCCTGTCACAGAACAGTTTTCAACATTAACACAAAAGAACACATTGACAAGTCCAAGGAGATTGTAAAATTTTGGGGTAAGTTATCAAGAATAATGGTCAAAAGAGATGACCGCATGATGGTATAAGGAACATGACAAAGTGTTCTAGGTGTTGCTTTGGCCTCTAAATCCCCCAGACCTCAATCTGACTGAGCATCTATGGGATGTGCTACCAGGAGTAGGCAAGTTCGGTCCTAGAGAGCCGCAGTCCTGCAGAGTTCAGCCCCACCTCACAACTTGTAGGACTTGGAATGGGTGTCAAATCCTGCTTCTGGAGGGCCAATGTCCTGCAGAGTTTAGCTTCAACCAGCTCCAAAACACTTGCCTGGATGTTTCTAGTCAGTCTGAAGACCTTTATTAGCTGGTTCAGGTGTTTAATTAGGGTTGAAGCTAAACTCTGCAGGACACCCGTGATCTAGAGATGATCTGCTGCTTAAGTCTCGGTGCCAGACCACATGCGCATTCATGGGTACTCTGACTGGTCTGTGGCTACGCAACCCCATGCACATCAAAGTTTGAGGCACTGTGTGTTCTGAGAACTTTTATGGTCAGCATTACATTTTTCAGCCATTTAAGCTACAGTAGTTCTTCTGTGTGATCAGACCAGGCCTTCACCCCCTATGTGCATTAGTGAGCCTTGGGCACCCATGGCCCTGATGCCGGTTTACCGATGTCCTTCCTTGCACCACTTTATGTAACTAACCACTGCATCCCAGGAATGGTATGACTGACTCAACTCAGGACCTAAATTAAGAAAGAGCATTTTTGCCCCCTCATTTCAGAAGTTCATCACATGCCCTTGCATGGCATTTCATAAGAAACAAGTAATATGGTATTTTTTATTTTTGGTATATCATTAGACCATAATGCCAGTTAAAAGTAGCTTAAACACAGTAATAAACCTTTTCATAAAAGCATTTAAACAATCTCCAGCAATATATTTTGAACTAAGTGACATCTTGCGGTCTTAAAGTTCATTGGTATCAGAAAAATGGCTGCAGGCTTCTATGTCTAAACTAATTCAGCCAGAAGGACATCCATTATTTGAGAGCAGTGCAAGGTTGGGTGTACTGTATTAATACTGACTCCAAGACTTTAAACTGACAGGTTTTCAAATGTACTCAATGTGAAAGCAGTGTCATATCTCTCTTTATATCAATTACAAATTTGACTAAGGAAAATTGATTTTAAGAAACTTTAAAGCAATATTAGTCTACGTGAAGCCATATTTCTCTGTGGAAGTAATGGCAACTTGAAAAAAAAAGTAGTATATGCTTTTTTTTTTTTTTTTTTTTGCAGTATATGCGTTATTAAACATGCTTCCTTCCTTCTTGGACAGCTGTATTCACCCCTCCTATATTGACTTTACAGAAATACATTTACAAACCAGGAGGTGTTTTATCATTTTATTTGTATCTGGACAAAAAAAAGAAGAAAAAAAAAACACCTCAAACATTTGTTCAGAATTGTTCATGTAAATGTTTGTGTGACATGTTCAGTTTGTGTGTCCGTCACTCATTCATATCGTCGGTAAAGTCAAGTCAGTCACAGTATGGGCAATTGTAGGCAGAGGAAGAAAAGAAAGAAAGAAAAAAAGATTTAAATATAAATACATTTAAAAGGAAAGAAATGACCAAACCAGGATACAATATCCACCTGTGCATGTCTTAATATTGTGTATGAAAAGTACTTAACAAACATGTAGCATTGTAAACACAGGTGAGTCAGCATTACTAGACACAGCCATATGCATCGGCTCCAGGTTTGGAAGAGACAAAGTCTCCAAATGTCAACATCTACAAGATCTAGGACGGAAGACCATAAAGACCCAATTTCACTTATTTGTGGCCTTTTGTAAATATTTTATTGTTTTCTGCACTTCTCAGAAGTTATTTTAAGGAGTAAAGAGCAGTGCAAGGACTGCAACTTTAAACTGCCAATATAACAACATAACCGTTAAATTTCTGGTTTAAATGTAGTTCATCGAGGTACACAGATCATATGACACCTAGATTTGTTTATATATATATATATATATATATATGAAAACTACATAAACTTTTGGCTTCTTAACGCGAATGTCCTTAAATGAGAACAAAACATTTGTGAAAGAGGCCTGAACTGATTTGGATTTGCTGTAATTGTGCTACGGTTACTTACAGAGGGAAGTCAGGCTTGAAACAACATAGTTGGGTCTACATGGTCAGCTAGTGCGCTCATAAACAGGACACAAACACGCACAAAAACTCAACGAGGGCAAGAAAAGAATTTACAGAGTTTTTCCTTCAATCGTTAGTATCCTTCTCACTTCCTCTCTGCCAATAGAACTACGTCCAAAAGGAGCACAAGCGAAGCAAACAGTACACACGCACACAACATTTCAACATTACATTAGCCTAACCAGCACAATAAATTAAGCATTTTTATCTTTATACCTTTGAGTTTACCAATTTGGTGTACAAATAGACCATCACATCTCTAATGAAACTGTGGCAGGCAATGTAACCTCTAATTTGTAAGATAAGAAAATAGAGCAGCAATATTTGCACAATATATGTACACATTCAAGTAAATAAAATAGAAAAAAAAAAAATCAAAGACAGATTGATACGACTCAGCCTCTTGTCTTTGTTGGTCTGATTGGCACTTTTGTGAATAGGAGTGCATTTCCATTAATAGATCATTTCTTTGCTTTTTTTGATCAACATATGAACCCACCGAGTGGTCTTGTAGACCATTAGATATATTTTAATAAGCATAGCTTACTTCCCCCCCACCCATGATATCAGTCTTATTTTTCCCATTTTTCTGATGTGTATGGAATTCTGGATGACTGCAGAATCTTTGTTCTGAGATGGACTTCCTACAAATGCTGCTAATGTCATCAAATATCATGCAGAACTAGGATTTGAACCGATTTGAAGTAAAACCCTGTTGATACCGTTGTTAAAGTACATCAGATTGTGGAGAGGTATTTTCAGAGTTAAATTCAAGTCTCAATTTCAAAAAGGTTCTTGAACCAGAATTAGTATGGGAACCTCCTTTCGGTTATCAGTTCTGATCAGGAATCACATCAGATTGACATTTATAGAAGGAAAAGACTTCTAGATAATAGTCAACCAAACACAGGATGCTGCTCTGTTAAGAACGAACAGATCATTCGTCAGTCAACGTCTCGATTTGTTTTCATAGATACAGGCCCGTCTTAAATCAAAATACCCCTAGCATTCACCCAGAGAAGCACCCTTCTGTCAGTGTATTATGGAGGTAGAGGAAAAATGCTTCCATAATGACAGGAAAAGTTTACTCACAGTTTTTAAGTAAACCGAGAGGTTAATATTGAAACTTTTCATTCCCTCTGTCTGAAATCCGCAGCAGTCCAACATCAAACCCAGGCGTGTTCAACTTTTAGTGCATCAACTCAAAAAGTGCCAAAAGGTGGAACAAATCAACATGAGGAAAAAAAGAAAAGATTTTGAGATTATGGAAGCCATTTCCCCTCCGTTTTATGCTAATCTGTTTGTGTACATGTTTATGAAGTGTATGCATGTGTGCGAGGTGTGTGCAAATAGAACATAATATCTATATATATAGTTTTGCCCATATATTTCATTATTTAAATAACTATTCCTTGCCATACCGACAGCACCTGCAAAACTACAGAAACCGGAACTAAGAATTAAGATTCCATCACGTGCATCACTCCGGCCCTCAGATATGTGTCTGCTTCCCCAGATCACATTTCAAAGTTGAAGCCTTTGATCAAAAGAAGAGTTATTCATAACACTGCACACCACGAACATCCTACAACTAGATATTTCATCCCTGCCTGGTTAAGAAAAATCTAAACAAAAGGAAACTGGGCATTATCTTTACTAAATGGGCTCTTTGGGCCCCACTTTTCCAGTCATTGTCTCTTAACAGTAATGACTTTTTATGTTAGGCTACTCTTTTACTAAAATACCTGGATTATTTCAACACCACCCACCACGTCAAATAGACTACATAAACTCCACACCCAGCATGGTCTGAAATTAATACTAATACTAAGAGAACTGAAACGGCTTAAGAAATCCTTTGAAGAGTGCTTAAAACCTCATGAAACACATCTGCAGATATTATGCTAGAGTTTTGTTTATAAAGGATGGGCATATCAAACACAACCAGGCTCGTTTAACTACCAGGATATGAATAATGAAAAAAAAAAAAAACAGGATCAAAAGAATAAGGATGAAGATCAAGATTTTCTGATTTTAAATAAATGAGAAAATTCTCTTAACTTTTTGTGAAAGGGCATTATTTAGCTGCATCACTGAGGGGGGGAAATGAAAGAAACTAAAATCCAGCTCTCTTGTGTGTGACAGGGCAGTGGATATGTTCCCCTGTGTGAGACACACCTCAGTGAATAAATAAATCAGTCTGTGTCACAGGTCGAAAATTTGCTTCACCCAGATATGAATGGTTGCACTGAGTGTTTCCGACGTATGTTTTAGTACCGGTATGGGGTGCAGGGATGGGTGTAAAGGGAAGGGGCAGCCGGGAAGTGTCTGAAGGCTGGTTATAGCTGGAAGCCCTCCATGGGGGCCTCCTGCTGCGGGAAAAGAAACTGCTGCTGGTTCTCATCCACCTGGGGTGCCAGACTGGCATCCTCTTCCTCTACTCCAAAATAGTGCTCGATGAGGTCAAAGGCTTTCTGGTAGATCTCCTGATTTTCATGACTCTGTAGGAACTCGATTTTGTCCAAACCTGGCAAGAGGAGAAAGAGAGAGAAAAACAGCGAGAGTTACATAGCCCCCCCAAAAAAAAAAAAAAAAAAAAAAAAAAAAAAAAAAAAAGACAGCGCCACAATCTCTACCTGAGGTAGATGATTATTTAGCTGCATCACTGAGGGGGGGAAATGAAAGAAACTAAAATCCAGCTCTCTTGTGTGTGACAGGGCAGTGGATATGTTCCCCTGTGTGAGACACACCTCAGTGAATAAATAAATCAGTCTGTGTCACAGGTCGAAAATTTGCTTCACCCAGATATGAATGGTTGCACTGAGTGTTTCCGACGTATGTTTTAGTACCGGTATGGGGTGCAGGGATGGGTGTAAAGGGAAGGGGCAGCCGGGAAGTGTCTGAAGGCTGGTTATAGCTGGAAGCCCTCCATGGGGGCCTCCTGCTGCGGGAAAAGAAACTGCTGCTGGTTCTCATCCACCTGGGGTGCCAGACTGGCATCCTCTTCCTCTACTCCAAAATAGTGCTCGATGAGGTCAAAGGCTTTCTGGTAGATCTCCTGATTTTCATGACTCTGTAGGAACTCGATTTTGTCCAAACCTGGCAAGAGGAGAAAGAGAGAGAAAAACAGCGAGAGTTACATAGATTTCTTTGATAGTTTTTTTATTTATTTATGTTTTTTTATTCAGCAAGGATGCACTAAATCGATTAAAAAAAAAGTCCCAGTAAAGACTTGTATATTGATAAATAGACAGCTCAAAAGATTTGTTTTTACCATACACAAAAAAAAATAAAAAAAGGAAAAAAAAATCAAGCAGCACAAAATTTAAAATTGTTGGAAATACTTTAGATTAGGGAACACATTCACTATATAAGTTGTCCCTCAATAAACTTCTTATTACTGCTTATTAGGGCTGTCAACAATTTTTTTCGAATTTCGAATATTTGTTGAATTTAAAATAAAAATCCACATTATTTTAGGTGGAGGCAGCCTTTTCAGTGGCGCACGAGATGCTATGACAATGTAAGTGTCGTTGCATTATAATGTTTTTGTAAGCCTATCCAGTTGAAGCCACTAGATGCGGCACTGCTGCGTTGTTCATTAAAAATATAGCGGAAAAAGAGAACGTCAATGCGGAGAAGATCTTGTTTACATCAAAACTCAAACCAAGCCGTTCACACAGAACACATATTTTGCACATTTTCCTGAGGGACATCTATTCCCATTGCACTCGCATCTTGCACAAAGGAGCCGCATGTTTAGAAAGCCATGCAAAATTTATGCAAGTTTAACTTTGAAAAAAACATTTATGGCAGGTTTTTTCCCCATCCCACTGCATCACGTTTTTAAATGAAAAATGCACTGTGTGATTGGCTTTCCACCCTTTGTATTAAACTATGCATACATACATGATGCTGTTGTTTATAGTTGTTTAAGCAACTTAATTATATTTGGTTTATAAACATTATTTGAAACATTATGCACTTTTTTCCACAGATAGTCATGTTATCTTATGCTTTGAATAAACGTGCATTAGTAATATTTTGCTCGATGCGCCCTCTTGTGGCTTCAGGAGAGAAGCCAAAAGCTTTTCATCACCCAAACTGAAATTATGCATTTTAAATTTGAATATAATTCGAATTTTGATCATATTTAAGTACAAAATTTGAATTTAGTTTTTCAGCCATTTTGACAGTCCTACTGCTTATTGATAGTAAGGTAGTTGCTGTAGTTGTTTAGGTATAGTAGTGTAGGGTTAAGGGATCTTAAATATGGTCATGCGGAATAAAGCATTAATATGTTCTTTATAAGTACTAATAAACAGTCAATATACATGCTAATAAACAACTAATTAATATAGCGTTCTCTAATTTGGGACTGCTAATTCCAAAAATAGTGCCCGCTCCCCAAATCCTTTGCCATTTTTAAACATTTTTGACATATCTCCGAAAAAACACATGCAATTGTAGCAATAGTTTGGTGAAAATAAATGTTACCATAGGCTTCCTCTATAAGACTGCAGTAAGGGTTGAGGCCGCTGCCGTTCTGTTTGGCCTCCTGCTCGCCCAGTCTGAGAATGTTCTCCAAACCATTCAAAGCCACCAGTACGATCTTGGAGTCCATCACAGTCAAAAGATCACAAAGAGGTTTAATGCAGCCCAAATTCACCAGATACCTACAGAAAAGAAACAGGTAAGGGAATAATAAGCAACAGCATGTGTGCCACCATATTATGTCTTAATTGAATAGGAAATGCAATCCAAAAAACATTGTGCTTGGAATACTGCCCTCGAAAAAAAAAAGTCCAATAACTGATTTATTTTTTAGCACAGAATATTATGTATTCCCTCTTCTGCTGCTTTGTGTAATTCGTGGAATGAATCAATTTGTAAAACTAGCCCTGCACCAGTATGACTGGGACAATATTTGTCCTTCAGTACTTAATTTCTCAGAAAATAAACATCATAATTTAATTTCCCCCAATACAAAAAACTGAAGATGAGAGAATTTATATTTGGCAAGCCATGCCCACCAAATTACTGTGTAAAACAGAATCTCCATTTCAGATTTAGACACACAATGATACCATGAGCACGGGTCAAACATCCCAAGTTCAGCAAGTGAACAAGCTAGCAACTGGCTCCAGTTTACTTTCTTATTCACTGATTCTAAAAAACATAAGCAATGTGGAACGTGAAAGGACAGGAGGAAAGCAAAATAAATTATTACAGCCAAAACTATCTTTCAGTCTAAAAGTAGACCAAGAAACATCTTAAATAAATGATGAGATAAAATGCCTTGGACACAATCCAAAAGTAAAGCTTATTCATAAAACATCAATAATAATGTCAAGTCATAACACCACACTTATGTAACACTCCAGTTAAAAACATGTCTCGTACATTATAAACACAATTAGATGAGATCTTATATGGTAAGTTGTTGCTACGCTTATGCCAAAGGAAGCACTCAGTAAGTACACATTATAGGCTGATACATTTAATGAAGCACTGTTTTGGCTGTGGCTAAATGCCATAAGTGCATGTCTGATAAAAACTGCAGCCCTTTGCTGTAAGTGTGCATAGTGATACTTTAACACTTTAAGCACACCGCTACTTTCAGACTGTGCAATCTCACTAGACGGCATGAAAACCACACTGCAATTCAAACTGGATAAACACATCACAAGTGCTCCCTGGTGACAACTTCTCCAATATTAGTGCCATGCTAATAGCCTTCTGAGAAGGCCCAACTTGGCCAGACGGGCTTAAATGGGCTCCCATGCTAAACTTAAACTATCTTGAGAATTTATTTCTGAGGTCAGCTCTAACTCAATTATATCTTTATTCTCCCTCAACCAATGATGTCATGTGACTTGACTACTGTGACTCAAAAAGCTAGACATTGATGATCAGGAGTTTGTGCACACACTTATTTTCACCAAGAATCACCCGCACAGACAAAAAGAGGCTGCCTGACACATACATGTAAAGAGGGTAAATATTTGAGATGCACCAGTCGACTGGCCATCAATCGTAACCAGACATTTTGAGGTTTATATGAATGCATCTCTGAAGGCACTCTGAAATATTTGAGATGCACCAGTCGACTGGCCATCAATCGTAACCAGACATTTTGAGGTTTATATGAATGCATCTCTGAAGGGAACTGACTGTCCGGAAAATTTTTCTTTTTCTTGCATCGCTTCTATTCCACAAGTGCCATCTACTGTCAGAGAGTGAATTTACATTTTCATTCAGCCCATCTGTTTTTTGTTTTTTTTTGCAGTTGTTTTATGTAACAATTTCACAAAGATAAAGTCAGACTATTCAGACTAAATGCATGTAGCATCTTTGTTTGGATCATGATTAAAATGCAATGTTTGCCTCTAACTTCAAATTATATTTGGTCTGTAATAGAGCAAAATGTTCTCTTTAATTTCTTTGTTGTTGCTTGCTTAAAGACAGAAAGCAAAAAGCAATCCGTATCGGCCCATTCATTAATAAAAAAACAAAAAACAAAAAAAAACAATATGAAATCAGGATTGGCCATGAAAAATGATGTAAATATGAATGCAAAGCCAACTGTAGGCCTACAATTGGGTCTTTGACCAATAATTCAATTCAAGTTTATTTGTATAGCGCTTTTCACGATAAAAATCGTTGCAAAGCAGCTTTACAGGAAATTAAGTTTCTACAATATATTTAGTAGTAGCGACTATGTTAGTTAAAGTACATATGGCAGAAATGAACAGTAAAATTCAGTTAATGATGTAATCAAACAGACGATGAACACTATTAACAGCAATGATTATATGTTGCAATCAAACTTGTACTTGTAAATAATAGGGTAAACGAAGAAAAAGGTAAAATAAAACTTTAAAAGACATTCTTAAATTCTTATACATTCTCATTCTTAGTTTTTCATTGTTTTGAAAAATGTTTATACAATTTATCAAACGTTTAAACTGAATTACTCATACTATCCGTTCAAAGATAAATGGTATTTTTTGTAATTCTCTAGGAAGTCGCACCACATGACATTTTACAGCCTGAACTACCCTGGCCTTGTCATAATAAGGTCAAATTATCTGATATTTTAGGTGAATCAATGACCTTGATACACAGTCATAAGGGTCAGCAGGGGTCCTCTCCATGATACCAGTTCCTATCTTGTTATTTGATCAGCATGTTTTGGCGTGCAGCTTGCCAAAAATGAGCTCCATGTCAATGACCTGATTCTCAAAGCGATGGTAAATGGTATGCCAGGCTTTGTGACAAGTTTGTCAGAAGTCTGAATGCTTAAGATGCTTAAAATGAGCTGTCTGTAAGCACATGCTCAGAGCTCACCTGATCTGCTCAGGTGTGCCACCTGACGTGGCATTAGTGATCGCCCACACCGCCTCCTTCCTGGTGCGGAATTCTGCTTTCTGTAGGATATCTATCAAGACTGGGAAGATGTTTGCATCTATTACGGTCTGCAGAAGATGATGATGATGGGTGAGAAAAAGAACACAGGATTAAAATCATCCTTAAATCCAAAAATAAATCCCAAGTAGACACTATAAACAGAACCACTCCTTTGAAGGTTTGAGGGTGCAGCCTTGCAACCCTGCTGCACACGATAAACAAGCTGAGCCCTGTGAGTGTGCATCTTGGTAGCAGATGTGGAGTGTAGGTCAGGATGTACCTGAATCTGCGCTCTGTTTCCCGCTGTGATGTTGGAGATAGTCCAGCAGGCCTCCTTCCTGATGGATTCCTTGGCACTACTGAGCAGGTGCAGGAGGCAGGGGAGAGCTGAGCAGTTCAACACCACCTAGGGCAGAGAGAATAGAAGCATAAGGACACCATCCATCTCCTGTTCGAAACCAGAGATAATCATACATGAAGATGAAACACATCTGCTCACATACTAACACACCTGTGTCTGAATGTCATCTCCTGTAACAATGTTTCCAACGGCCCTCAGAGCAGGAGAGGCCACCTTGTAATCGGTATGCCTGCAAGAAAAGAGGAAAGAGGTCGTCAAGAACAGCAGTTCTCAAACTTTTTGACTCAAAGGTCAAAAACACAATATTTGAAGGCCCCCTGATATAGACCTTTGTATTATATTAGTCTTAGTGCCATATTTAATTTCTGACAGGAATGAAAACAAGGCTGTAAAGTATAGCAGTACAGTGTGAACTTTTATTTAACAATATACTGATTATTCAGCTGATGAAAAACTTTCAGTAGACAAAAACTCCATAAAACAGTTCTGAAAGGTGAGAGTTGTGAAAATTACATGATTTAGAACCTTTATAAAGAGCATGCCATTATAAAGACTGCAAGTCTATCCCTCACAGCCTTGTTTTCGTTAGTGTTAAAGGGGTCATGAACTAAGAAATCAAAATTCCCTTGATCTTTTGACGTAAGAGGTCACTGTACTATAAAGACAACTCAAAACTTTCTCGTTAGTATAAAAACAGCTTATATTGAAGCCAATCTGTCAAAACGAGAGGTTGTGGAATGTGCCACTTTATGACGTAATAGTGAGGCTAAACCCCGCCTCCGCAGAAGATGATCAACGCCTGCTTCTACATCACTGCCTGTTTAGCCCCGCCCACCGATTCACGCATGTAGTGTAAATATCGAGAGAGGCAAATGCAGGTCTACACAGAAACCAAATGATAAAGATGCTCCGAAGACAAAACGCTGTGCAGTGCCAAGTTGTGGAAAAACACAAGTCTTTGCATCGCCTTCCTTCTGATCCCAGCATTAGGAAAGAGTGGATGAACTTTATTTTTATTGAAGATCCAGACCACGTCAGTAAGAACTTGGTCCTTTGTTCACATCATTTTACCGCGGATTAATTTACAGTCAAGGCACAAATCGACACAGGATTTTCAGAAAGACTGAAACTAAAAGACGATGCTGTGCCGACTATATTATAAATAGAACAATATATTATACAGAAAAACTTTTCCCCAATAAAGACAGTTATTTATAAGAAAAATTATTTCAGTATGCATCTTGTTTTTTTCCCCCCGCATTTTAATGTAAATTAGAATTTCATTATTTAAATATATTACTAATAATACAGCCAGCGGACCTGTTGGATGTTTTCTGAGAACCACTGGTTTAGGTAAAGCTCAAATAAAGCTACTGTAATACTAAGCTAGAAAAATAATGTGAATTCAAATCAGATCCTATTTAAAGTTTGTTTTCACAATCATTTGGAATATAGCTCATAAGTCAATTATGACACTTTGGCCTTACGTCCTGCTGAAAATTCTGATTCACATTGAAATATGTCATTATGGAACTTAAAAGTGTAGCAGTTTCAATATGATTTAGAAATGACAATTTAGTCATAATAGCGGACTCACATGAGCAGCTCCACCAGCCTCCTGCAGACCCCTGAATCAATAACTGCTTGGATCTTCTCATTGGGCCCATCAGAGAGATAGGACAAAGCCCAACAGGCATCAGCCAGCAGGTCTGAATCACTGCTGAACAAAAGACGGGACAGCACAGGCAGGCATGGAGACACCTACAAGAGCAAAAGACAGCTTTCAATATGAAGTTATAGCTTATAAAAATAAATACGTAAATAAAAATAAAAAATGCACAATGACATGACGTCACTGATAGTCATGTGTAAAAACACTCCTTTCATTTGATACATAATAGTTTTACTATTATGTAATTTTTTAAATACATTTTTTAAATAATTTTACTGAAATGTACACTACTGTTTAAAAGTTTGGGGTTGGTAAGATTTTTTTCAATGATTTTAAAAGACGTTTTATATATATATATATATATATATATATATATATATATACACACATAAATGCAGTCACCGTCAGAAGTCTGAATGCTTAAGATGCTTAAAATGAGCTGTCTGTAAGCACATGCTCAGAGCTCACCTGATCTGCTCAGGTGTGCCACCTGACGTGGCATTAGTGATCGCCCACACCGCCTCCTTCCTGGTGCGGAATTCTGCTTTCTGTAGGATATCTATCAAGACTGGGAAGATGTTTGCATCTATTACGGTCTGCAGAAGATGATGATGATGGGTGAGAAAAAGAACACAGGATTAAAATCATCCTTAAATCCAAAAATAAATCCCAAGTAGACACTATAAACAGAACCACTCCTTTGAAGGTTTGAGGGTGCAGCCTTGCAACCCTGCTGCACACGATAAACAAGCTGAGCCCTGTGAGTGTGCATCTTGGTAGCAGATGTGGAGTGTAGGTCAGGATGTACCTGAATCTGCGCTCTGTTTCCCGCTGTGATGTTGGAGATAGTCCAGCAGGCCTCCTTCCTGATGGATTCCTTGGCACTACTGAGCAGGTGCAGGAGGCAGGGGAGAGCTGAGCAGTTCAACACCACCTAGGGCAGAGAGAATAGAAGCATAAGGACACCATCCATCTCCTGTTCGAAACCAGAGATAATCATACATGAAGATGAAACACATCTGCTCACATACTAACACACCTGTGTCTGAATGTCATCTCCTGTAACAATGTTTCCAACGGCCCTCAGAGCAGGAGAGGCCACCTTGTAATCGGTATGCCTGCAAGAAAAGAGGAAAGAGGTCGTCAAGAACAGCAGTTCTCAAACTTTTTGACTCAAAGGTCAAAAACACAATATTTGAAGGCCCCCTGATATAGACCTTTGTATTATATTAGTCTTAGTGCCATATTTAATTTCTGACAGGAATGAAAACAAGGCTGTAAAGTATAGCAGTACAGTGTGAACTTTTATTTAACAATATACTGATTATTCAGCTGATGAAAAACTTTCAGTAGACAAAAACTCCATAAAACAGTTCTGAAAGGTGAGAGTTGTGAAAATTACATGATTTAGAACCTTTATAAAGAGCATGCCATTATAAAGACTGCAAGTCTATCCCTCACAGCCTTGTTTTCGTTAGTGTTAAAGGGGTCATGAACTAAGAAATCAAAATTCCCTTGATCTTTTGACGTAAGAGGTCACTGTACTATAAAGACAACTCAAAACTTTCTCGTTAGTATAAAAACAGCTTATATTGAAGCCAATCTGTCAAAACGAGAGGTTGTGGAATGTGCCACTTTATGACGTAATAGTGAGGCTAAACCCCGCCTCCGCAGAAGATGATCAACGCCTGCTTCTACATCACTGCCTGTTTAGCCCCGCCCACCGATTCACGCATGTAGTGTAAATATCGAGAGAGGCAAATGCAGGTCTACACAGAAACCAAATGATAAAGATGCTCCGAAGACAAAACGCTGTGCAGTGCCAAGTTGTGGAAAAACACAAGTCTTAGCATCGCCTTCCTTCTGATCCCAGCATTAGGAAAGAGTGGATGAACTTTATTTTTATTGAAGATCCAGACCACGTCAGTAAGAACTTGGTCCTTTGTTCACATCATTTTACCGCGGATTAATTTACAGTCAAGGCACAAATCGACACAGGATTTTCAGAAAGACTGAAACTAAAAGACGATGCTGTGCCGACTATATTATAAATAGAACAATATATTATACAGAAAAACTTTTCCCCAATAAAGACAGTTATTTATAAGAAAAATTATTTCAGTATGCATCTTGTTTTTTTCCCCCCGCATTTTAATGTAAATTAGAATTTCATTATTTAAATATATTACTAATAATACAGCCAGCGGACCTGTTGGATGTTTTCTGAGAACCACTGGTTTAGGTAAAGCTCAAATAAAGCTACTGTAATACTAAGCTAGAAAAATAATGTGAATTCAAATCAGATCCTATTTAAAGTTTGTTTTCACAATCATTTGGAATATAGCTCATAAGTCAATTATGACACTTTGGCCTTACGTCCTGCTGAAAATTCTGATTCACATTGAAATATGTCATTATGGAACTTAAAAGTGTAGCAGTTTCAATATGATTTAGAAATGACAATTTAGTCATAATAGCGGACTCACATGAGCAGCTCCACCAGCCTCCTGCAGACCCCTGAATCAATAACTGCTTGGATCTTCTCATTGGGCCCATCAGAGAGATAGGACAAAGCCCAACAGGCATCAGCCAGCAGGTCTGAATCACTGCTGAACAAAAGACGGGACAGCACAGGCAGGCATGGAGACACCTACAAGAGCAAAAGACAGCTTTCAATATGAAGTTATAGCTTATAAAAATAAATACGTAAATAAAAATAAAAAATGCACAATGACATGACGTCACTGATAGTCATGTGTAAAAACACTCCTTTCATTTGATACATAATAGTTTTACTATTATGTAATTTTTTAAATACATTTTTTAAATAATTTTACTGAAATGTACACTACTGTTTAAAAGTTTGGGGTTGGTAAGATTTTTTTCAATGATTTTAAAAGACGTTTTATATATATATATATATATATATATATATATATATATACACACATAAATGCAGTCACCATTTGTTTGCATTTATTTGATCAAAAGTGCAGTAAAAACCATAATATTGTGAAATTGTAAAATTGAAACCAACCGTTTTCTATTTGAATATACTTTTAAAGGCAACATCGGATCAGGGCTCACAAAATTGCTAGTCTGACTTCCCGGGGCTATTGTGTTTTCCAGTCGGGCCACCAAAATGTTTTACCACCCTGTCCGATGGGCTATCTTGAACAGTGATATAAAATTCCTTCCTTGATTTGCATTGTTCACTAGCTTGTAGGGGTAAAACGGATCGTAGGTGATCGTTTGCACGTGTTTCTAAGTCTTGCTGATTTAAACATTCAAGTGTTTTAAACCATTCACGCGCATTCGGAGCTGCGCGCACAGAGAGGCGCTTTTCAGACAATGCGCATACACAGAATCGATTCCTTTTTCGCATATCCTTGCATCTGAATGAAAACATACACACAAAATTATCTCAAAATAACTGTCTCGGCAAGTATTCTCGTAAACGCAGTCGGTTATGTCTTAAGTGAACGTAAACAGTGGAGAACGAAATCTCAAGTGCATCATTATATTGGATCCGTGCATTCGGTCTTAAAGGGGCAGCAGCCTATAAATACCTGCTGTTCCATAAGCGCCACCTGCTGTCAGAGAGTGCCATTTGCATCTCATTCACAAAGCTAAAATCAGACCATTCTGTTTTTTCTTCAAATTTCGAAATTATACAATCTAAATAACATTTAGCATCTTTGTTTGGATCGCGATTAAAATGCAGTGGTTGCCTCTGATTTTAAATGGAAAAAGTATGAAGGTATGAAGAGATTTATTTTATTTGTATTTAATTATTTGATTTGGGATTTGTTTTAAAATGTTAAGTTAGTTTTATTATTTGACATTTCAATTTCACAAAGAAATGTGCAGCATTTTGTTGGAGAAATAATAAAAGGACACCTTTTCATTTATAATTTGTCTTAGATCTCATTTTGTTAAAAAAAAAAATTGTGAGAAAATTGTATTGTGAAATCAGTATCGTGAATAACGATACAGCCTGAACTACCCTGTTGAGTGAATCGTTACATCCCTATATGCTACTAGTTTTTGATGTGGTATCAAAGAAGTATCTGTTATTTTAATAATAAAGAACCATATTTTTTTGGTCATCTGCAAAATTATCCGATCTGTTACTCAAAATCTGATATGATAATGCAATATGAGCCGAGTTGTGGGTTTTATGATCCGTTGCACCCCTACTCTCTTGACTTGTTATTTGAAGAAAAAAAGCAATCAATGAATTTTTTAATCATGCTGATTTGTCCGCAGTGAATTTCAGCAGATGACTTTTTTTTATTTTTTATATTCCGGCTACTTAAATTCATTTTGGGCTACCAAAATCTGAAGAATGTCTGCCCGAAGGGCTACCAGCGATTTTTACATTTTGCGAGCCCTGCGGATGCCTATTTTCCACAAGTTGGTGTGATTCTTTAGAGTATTAATGAAATGTCTGTATTAACATACTTTAGTTAAACTTCAATGGACATGTAAAACAACACCCTTTTTACCATGTAAAACATGATCACAGCGACTCATTTCAGTGCATGACTCTTTAAATAATAATGAGCTACCGTTCGCCCCACCCCTCTCATCCGTGGGGCGTGTCGACACAAGACACGTGAATTGCTGCCTTGGACTCGTATATGGCTCGGAGGCGGTGTTATTCAAATAGCTAGCTATCTACATAAAAACTGGCTGCAAACTGAAACAGCTCGCTGGATGACAGTTTCAGACTCAAGATAGCCCATAACAAACTGGCTGCCTGTTTTCTTTTCAGCTTTTCTGAGCTGGCAGACATGCCAGAAACCTAAATAAACGCAAAAACAGCTAAGTGACAATTTTATCCCCTTTAATATGCAATTTATTCCTGCGATGATTAAGCTAAATTTTCAACAGCCATTACTCCACTCTTCACCGTCATATGAGACACTGAGACCTATGACAAATGAGACCTTTTGAAAGCATAAAGTGCCTTCTTAAACAAGGAAAATAAAGAGTGTTGTCAAGGGACAGACAAGCAGTACAGACCTTCTCAAAGTCTGGGGGTGGACTTTTGCCTCTGCAGAGGTTGGACAAGGCCCACACAGCATTCCTGGTCATTGTTAGACGAGTTGATTTGGTCAGCAGCCTGGGGGGAAAAGTATCAAGGAAACAATCAATCCTTATCTTAAGCCAAAAATGTTTGTTTCTTCCGCAGACGATGTTAAAGTCATTGCGATGTCAGATAAATGCCAATACTGTGGTCTTGTGTAAGGTAAACAGAAAAACTGAGAACTCACATTAGTAGAGGAGAAAGTATATTACAGTTTAGCACATAATCTCTGCACACAGCGCTGTCTCCCGCAATGTTCCCCAAAGCCCAAACAGCCTGTGACACAAAGATTCATTAACATAACCACATGGGATTTATACTCGTTTAGCACAAACAAAACAAGGCGACTTATCCCTTGCAGCTTTATAACTTGTACCTGCTCCTGCACGTCTTCAAACTCTGAGTTGAGAAGCTCGATAAAGACAGGTACAGCACCGGCCTCGATCACAAACTTTGTCTGTTGAGATGTTCCAGATGCGATGTTGGTCAGTGCCCTGGGGTGGGGGGGGGGAGACACATTCAAGGATCTGAATTTATAACTTTAAATGAAGAAACTAGTTTAGCTTTATTTCATCACATCTCACCTGTAAAGTGCAATTGGTACTTTTTTGAAGGAACTCAACGAATCTATTCACAACTCCCGGTGTGCTTATAACCTCGTCAATAGGAGGGTTTGGTTCTGAACAATACGAAGATTGATTTATTAAAACTCAGACACGCTTCTAGGCAACTCCAGACATGTGTTTGTGCCAGATACCTTTGGAAAGCAGTTTTCTGAATCTCTGTGTTGTGACCAGTTGTAGTTCAGGATCTTCTGAGAAGAGCATTTCAACCATGTCTCTTGTAATTACTCCATCCTAAAAAACACATAGGACAAATTTGGTCTAGATCAATGACCGTAATTAGTTTTCAACCCAGGCTTGCACCTCTGAGAAGTCCAAATCAATAGTGCTTATTGAATTAAGGGGTCATAATGCACTACTAACAACAGACCCAGTGTTACCTCTGCCTGTAAGTGACATAATGGGAGAAAGCAAACTATTCATTTGGGTTTGAACTCACTGGTGCTGTGGTGGAGGAGATGTAGGAATCCGTAAGTGGACTGTCAAACATTCCCCCTTCTTCACCCAGGAGCTCCACATTTCTCCTCTTAAACAGCTGCCAAGAGAAAAAGAGAGAATCAATAGTGCAAATTGCACCAATTGATGTGACAGTTAAAGTTAACATGAAACAGCATTCACAGACCATTTAACTTATGTATCAGCATAGTCAATGTGAAAAGGATGTATGGGATAATGTTACAAAATATTCTTATCCCAAATAATATTTCACAATATTACAAACCCCAAAGTTTTGAATGGTAGTGTAAAAGTCATATTAACGGTGGATGATTATGAAGAATTTTTCTTCAATGCACCAACTGTGCACAATAAAACCAAAAACATATTTATTAAATTCAATGGGGTTTATTATATTTTCAAGTTACCTTTAAAGAAAAGGTCATGTAGGGAACATGAAAACAAAAACAAATAAACAAAGCAAATGGACAGTCACCTGTTGCTCTCGTTTCTGTTTCCTCAGCTGAATGCCTTCCTCCTCCCTTCTCCGACGCATCTCCTCCAGGTTGAGTGCTTTGTTCTTGTAACGGTTCATCCTGAAATTATCCTTTGCAGGACTTCCTGAAGGCTCTGCGGAACATAACGAATTAGTAACACTTTACAGACATCTCCAAAAACACAACAAACAATTAATAGTCTGCTTTGATCCAAGAAAAACCATGATAATCAACCTCCCAACCACAGCAGTACAATCCAATTGTACAAAAAAAAAAAAAAAAAAAGGTTTATTTGTTTTGTCTACTTTGGATTGTGTGACATCACAGCTCAGATATAAAATCTTCCCAAGAGTAGCTGAAGGCAGTGTGCATCTGGAATTGCCAAACCTTTTAATTAAAAGCAGGTGTCCACATAATCTTGGCCACACAGTATATTTATATTGCATAGTCACTAAGTACACGACAGAACAAATGCCTTTTTTAGAGCGGTCACTGTCCCTTGATTAAATTCGAGAAATCTATTATAAAAATTGTTGATTGCATTGACACGTGTCGATTAACTGACAAATTACCAGAAGTGGTGCATTCCACGGTCGAGGATCCATGAAAAGCATTATTAGGCCATTTTCTGAGGCTGCACGAAATATTAAAACCCATTTAAAATCATAATAATGCATAGTGCTATTGTAAAGTTGCTTATGATGTTCAACTGGGAACAATGTGCACCATTCTATCAAATTTATAAGGCAAATCATTTATCAACCTACACCAACACAGAAGAATACATCAGAATACAGAAGAATATCTTTCTAAATATGCTAACCGTTCAAAAGTTTAAACCCTCACTCGGAGTTTGCATGTTTTGATGTCCGCATGTTCTTGTTCGAGGAATGACAGTGGCTCTAGCATTTCTATCATAAAGAAGTGGCAAAATATTACAGATTAAGTGGACATTTGAATTAAATGTTGTTTAGTCAATATTAAACAAGGATTAGATCGTGATGTAAAGTGTAAAAACAAGTACCAGGCTGTTGGCACCCTCTGCAGGCATTTGATATAGTACACAATGTACAGGTTTTGTTCAATAAAACTATATGATAGCTTGCTTTTGATATTTTATTTGAATCAATTATTGCGTTATTGCTATTATATAAGTCATTTTAATGTATATTGTTCTCTTAGGTTTATTTGTATTACCACAAAACATGTTTTTATCTGATTACTCGATTATCAAAATATTTTTTTCTACTTTTAAAATGTTTTATTTAATTTTTTTATTCATTAAAGAATCCTGAATAAAAAGTATCAAGGTCTCCACAAAAATATGAAAGTGCAACCGTTTTCAAAATTGATATGTTAAAAAAAGTTTCTTGAGCGGCAAATCAGCGTATCAGAATGATTTCTAAAAGATCATGTGACACTGAAGACTGAAGATCTTGTTATACCCGTCTTATAAGAATAAAGATCTTGATTTGAAGTCTGTGAATAAGGATGCGGAGTTTGTTTTCAAATGGTCAATAAAAATGGCAAAGTACATATTTCTGTCAATGAGTTGCTATTGAGGAAACTAGGAGTACAAGACCTGCACAAACTGTCCATGGTGGACAAATATACTCATGTATCTGGGCCTTTTGACAGGAAAAACTGTAACAATTTCAATTGGTGTGCCATCTGCATGAGTGCACATGTCGTCAGTAGCAAGACGAAAATGAATGTGGAATTGCATAGCAATCTAGTATCTCCACCTTCATAACTCACTTTGGTCTGTTTGTGCTGAGCACAATGCACTTGAACAGAGCCACCCGGAGTCAGTGAGCAAAACCACTTTTAGTGAGGGTATCTAAACGCTGTTTGAATGAGCAAGCAGCTAAAGCAGCCTGTCTCAGCATTTGTGCAGCACTGAGAGCAGAGGAGGCTACGAATGATGACTGTAATGCTACCGAATGCACATCAGGGCACTAACAAACAGTGCCTGAGGGTACAGTTTCAGATCTTGGATCCGCTCCTATCCTTTCTGTATGATCTTATTGCACTGCATCTCAAAGGAGGAAAATAGCCCAAAATCAGCACTGTCACCATGTGAAGGCCTCCATAACCTTCAGTCAGTAAATATCTGCAGTTCTGGGGCAGAGAACTACCACAAGTTTCAACTTGACTGTTAGAAATCAGGCTTCCTGATGGGTGAGGTTTTGGGTGAGATGGGTGAGGCCTTCTTCCCAACATATGAAAGGCTACATTCCAATTGATCTGCTCATGAACAATACAGGCCATGGCTTAAAGGAATAGTTCACCCAAAAATTACATTTGTTGTCGTTGCATTTACTGTTGTTGCAAACCCACATGGGAAGAACTACTGCATTTTCTGTCCGCCATCGTTCCCTCAGTATTCACATAATTTTTGCCGTGCACACTTTTGCGCTCGTGCTGATGCGGCGAGTATTAAGCGTGATGTAAAAATCGTCATCAGAGGTTGTGTGTGGAGGCTCTTTGCAGACATCCGCATGCCTCCCATTTTTTGTGACTGCATGAACAAGTATGCTCGGTCACTAGGCTACAAAACCACCAACTGCGTATCTGCTGGAAAAACAACATGGATGTCAAATTTGAAGAGAGGCTGTGTGGAGAAGTGTGTCGCTAACCGCACCGCTACAATCCGTCAATAAAACAATATAAAAGACAGCCAGGCTTTTTTTTTTTTTGCCAGGCTATACATCAGAAGCACTCGTACTGAAAGCACCTTTCTCAGTCTCTTCACGTGATCAGTGAAATCTGAAGCCTGGCTTATACTCACAGCATCCGCACGAGCGCAAAGGTGCAAGCGGCGAAAATTATCTTCGTGGAGTGGGCGGTCATGCAAATTGAGTGCGCGAGGCCCCTATTCGTGTGGCGGTGAAGTTTGATGTGAAGTTCAAACTCCATCAGGTGCTTTTTGAGCATATGAGGGAAAACAATGCATAGATTTTTACATTGTCCAAGGCTTTTTAAGTCAATTACGTTTTATTTTTATTGTATACAAATAGAATTAGAATTAATTTAGATAGGATTTAACCCTATTTGCTTAAAGTTGTCTTGTGTTTGATGCAAAATAAACCCAAAAGCTGAAGATTTTTTGTGGTGTACCATCAGTGTCATATCATATTGAGAGTTGTACCGGCAAACTAATTCTCGATGGTTTTAGAGGATAATTACTCCTCATCGCCCCCTTGAGCCCTGGTTTCCCCAAATATCAGCACGATTGCAATGTGACACTAATTTTATACAACAACAGAACTGTTGTGTCTCCCCGGTCAACACAGCAGTGTTTCGATATTGAATGAATCTACCTTTTTGAACAAAACGCGTAAGTCAATGACTCAGTGACCCATTCATAAAGGCAGTGGCCCTGTCCCAAATGGCACATTTCATGTGAATTTGCGATCTTGTGGACTTACAATGAGCGCCGCGTGCGTGTGTCCGTTAAGTCTACGAGACCGTAGGGTGTCCCATTCATCATTTTGGCTTTCAGAAGGGTGCTCACAAGTACCCCCTTTGCGGCCACTATGCGCCCTCGGTGCGCACTTCTGACGAGCCCGCACTGAAGTGAGCTATTACAATTTATATTTTAAAATATTTTAACATGTAATTTATTCCCGTGATGCAAAACTGAATTTTCAGCATCATTACTCCAGTCTTCAGTGTCACATGATCCTTCAGAAATCATTCTACTGTGATGATTTAAGAAACATTTATTATTATCAATGTTGAAAACCATTGTGCTGTTTCACATTTTTGTGGAAATTGATACATTTTTTTTCAGGATACTTTGATGAACAGAAAGTTCAAAAGAATAGAATTTATCTTTACTAGAAATCTTTTGTAACATTATAAATAGGGATGGGTATCATTAAAGTTTTAACAGTATTACTACTCTATTCTGCTTATTGATCCGGTACTTTAACGCTATTCTTATAGGTACTTTTGTGTGTGTGTGTATGTGTGTGTGTGTGTGTGTATGTATGTATGTATGTATGTATGTATGTATGTATGTATGTATGTATGTATGTATGTATGTATGTATGTATGTATGTATGTATGTATGTATGTATGTATGTATGTATGCATGTATGTATGTTAGGGCTGGACGATATGGCCAAAATTTATATCACGATATATTTCTTAATTTCGGTCGATACGATTCGGTCAACCTACTCCTATAAAACTATATAATATTTTAGGAAATAAATAAATGTTCACCTTTTATTGCACCCGCCGTGTTTTGATTTTGAAACATGCAGTGCTCATGTTTATTCAACGAAGTCAAACGCCACAAATAAATCAATGTATGGGAAACACTGGTAATGTATATCGAAATATCGGAAATGTGTTTAAAAATCATATCACTGTTATTGAAAAAAATTACATTGCGATACATATTGATATTGAATTATTGTCCAGCCCTAATGTATGTATGTACAGTGGGTACGGAAAGTATTCAGACCCCCTTAAATTTTTCACTCTTTGTTATATTGCAGCCATTTGCTAAAATCATTTAAGTTAATTTTTTTCCTCAATGTACACACAGCACCACATATTGACAGAAAAACAAACCATATAGCCCACTGAATCATACTCAGACTTAATGCTGGCAGCAGTGGAACCACTTGGGAGAGAACTGCCAGGTGACTTATTTCTTAGCATAAAAGAGGACAATGGTACAAGAGGAATACCAAATTATTGTTTTAAGTGTGAAAATATAGCAGAAGTAGCGGGGTGTTAGTTGTAACACACGTGGTTTGAATATTTATTTTACCATAGTAACATTTAAATTCTGGCTAAAGTACATTTTTTATCTCAGTTTTTATTATTCATTTAAAATGACAAATCTGCTATCATTTGAATCTCCAATCTGTTATTTATCAGTTCAGATATTTTTTTAAGCTTCGCTAACTAGCAGAAGACACTAACCAATTTTAAATTCCAGTTGTGCAGATGGGGCACGTTGTAACACTGCGTTACAATGTGCTATTCTATGACATTAGCGATGTAATTTACACTATTTACTTTAATTTTAATGAGAAACAACGAGAAACAGGTGAATAAAGACTGACAGTCAATGTTTAATGTTTAGAAATTATTTCAAGACATGTAAAGCATTTTTGCTTGTTTATGTGGTCCGTCCCAAGCATGGTTGCAATGTGTTCATTGTCAAACTCCAAAATCAGATTATTT